ACTTCATGTCACCTCTCTCTGTTCAAGGCTGTCAGGTTTTTCCCTTTTGGTTGCTTTTAATATATTGTTCTTGTCTTTAGTGTTCTGCAATTTGACTATGATTTTTTATTAATCTCTTGGTACTTCTAGTGTTCTTTAATCTGTGTATTGCCATCTTTGTTGGCTCTGGGAAAATCTTAGTTGTGATGTCTTCACATGTTGCCTCCTTCCCTTGCTCCTCCCGTCCTTCTGGAACTCTTACCAGCCCAGTGATTGATCTTCCCAATCCTATTGGCCTTCTCAGTCTGTCCGCTTCGTATCTCCTAACCCTCGTGTTATGGGTCTCCACCTGCCCCCCGCCCCCCCCCCCGGCCAGGACACACTTGCCCCAAGCCCAGGAAGTGAATGCTGCCGACAGGATCACCAGGAGCCCTGTCGAGTTAGCTCAAAGGGAGGCCCGGTGGCGGTGGGAGGAGAGACACTGGGCGCCTGCTGCCCTTGCCCTCCCTCCCAGCGCTGCATCCTTCTGTGAGAGGCCCTCCCTCTCACTCCCGGGACCTGTGACACTCCCGGAGTTTCCACTCAACTGGCCCTTCGCCATCCTTTGCTGTTTTTTTAACCAGCCCACGGTCCTGCTCACGGTCTCTTTTAAAATCTCCATCCATTTAAACCCTTTGAGTGTGCTATTTCCTATCTGAAACAGGAAATTTAATAAATCTCTTTATATGTCCCCCTGCTTTTCTAGGCTGTATCCTGGATAAGTTCTTCACATCTACATTTGCAGTTCCTTTTCATCACCTGTGTCTATTCTGTGTGAAATCTGCTTATTCAGTTTTCATTTTCAATGACTACTTTCTTCTTTCAAATCAGAAACTTTGGGTTAGAATTTTGTCATCTCCTTGATTGTACCTTATTCTCTTCCTTCCTTTTGCTGCGTATATTTAAAGTCTATTACCTCTTTACACAGAGGAAACAATACTATATTGTACTCTGTGTCCAGTAATTCCAGGATTTGAACTCTTTGTGGTTCAACTTCTTTTATTTGTTGTCTCTGCTGGGTCTTGCTCTAATACCTTGTTTTCTTTTGGATTTAATGATATTTTGTAGTACGCTGCTCATTTTCCATGGAAAATTATTTGTAGGGGTTCTTTGAGGCCTGGCATGAAAATCAATTCCTTCAGGGAGGACAGCTTTGCCAGGTCCTCTGAAATCCTTGTGAGGCCCAGGGTTCAGTCACAACTCCTCGGGGTTCCCCTTACCCATTTGCTTGGCGCCAAGTATGTACACTTTGGGCCCAACTCTGTGGGGTCAGTGCTCTGTTTCTTCTCCTTGGGTGGGCCCTGGGCTTTATTTCAGCCCCCTGCCACCCGGCTAGAACACCAAAGCGGGAGTTGTCCAGATCCGCAGATGCTGTGAGCACAGAAGCCAATGCCAAGTGTGTCTGGGTATCGGCCTCCACTGGAAATGTCTTCCAAGTACTCTTTAGATGAATTCAAAGGACATCTAAAAATATTCTAGGTACCTTTCAGTGTTTGTGATATAAAACTGATCTGGGTCACCAATTCACCATGTGCCAGAAATGGAACTTCTTCATTGAAAAATTTGTTAGTATGTGTGTCACAGGTCAGCCCGGAATTGCCTGAATCTCTTAATAAGTGAGCCTGAACTTAGTACCCATGCCAGCCAAGGGCTGCTATTTTTTTCAACTTCTATAGCTTTTCATTTCATTTTTAAAATAAAATGGACGAGACCACATTTGCTTATAGCAGATATCGTAGAGTGGGCCCATGCAGTGAAAAGGGGAAAGACAGAGAGTTGTGCCAGGCTGAAAACATGGAAAATGCCCTGTGGATGAGGCCATATACACCAGGAGACAGTATACTGCCTGAAATACCCAGTGATGACGCGCTGTCCTTCTACCTCTGGATTTATTACTGACAAGTTTTTAAAGTTCTGTCTGACTCCATTTTCCCCATCCTTCATGTGCTTATTCTAGTTCTTTTCCATTCTGAGTGTTTTAACTCACGTTTACTGAATATTGACAATGCACTCTGCTGTAGAAATTTTGAAAATGAGCATAATACAATAAAATAAAAATAGAACCTTATGTGAATTAATCCCAATGGAAAGTGAGCTTTGAAGACTCGTATCGAGGGAAGCGGACTGTAAGGAGAGAGGAAGCAGGAAGGAGTGATTCACTAGTGTCCTCTCATGGTTGCCGAAGAACTCAGAACATCCACCTGTCAGTTCCCAGACATTCTGCGACATTTGTGAAGTTTTCGATGAATAAATAGTATGAAGTAGGTTTGTACCTGTATTAGCCTGTGTGGTTGTGAGCTGGGGATGGGGGGAGGATGAACAGAAAAGGGTTATTAGCTGCCCTTCATCAGTTTGGTTATAAATTCAAATTTTCTAGTTCAACAGTGTATTTTGATACTATCTTACATTTATACAATACTTAAATTATCAATTGAGCCTACCCTTACAGAGTGACCACTTGAAAGGCCAGCATGGTGGGAAATAGCACTGTTTGCAAATAACTGTTTCTTGCCCTTCCTCCTGTATCCTGTCCCATGGGCTGTGGCTGGCCGAGGAATCGAGGGAGAAATACTCGACTGTCAAACTCTCTCTTTCCCCAGCACAGCAGTCAGCAGGTGGCCTAGGTGGCCATCTGGACGGACGATGGGCCTGGACCATGCAAGACAAAGAACACAATTCTGCGACTGGGGCACTGTTTGTTACCACTGCCTAACTCAGATGACGCAGACCAATACATCCTGATAGACCAGTATGTTTCTATGTGGAACAAATACTGGGGAAGTCACTTGCCTGGTTGTTACTCCAAAAGCTGGTGGCAGTGCTAGGGTGGGAAATGGAGATTGCTAGAACATCATGCTTTCATCATGCAGCACTTCACAGTCAATAACTAAACTTGTGACAACGACATTTTGTCATCAAAGTGGATACTCTTGCTGGTGTTACCCTGAGGCATGGTGGGCAGTGCGACCGTGAGCACCAAGGACTCGGGTGTCTGTTGCTACATGAAAGTGTCAGTGCTAACGGTCTTTTTCGGTGTCACACAGAATGTCAATCTTTTTAAAAAAGATTTCATTTATTTGAGAGAAAGGGACAGAAGGAGAGAGAACAAGTTGGGGGGCAGAGGGAGAGGGAGAAGCAGACTCCCCACTGAGCAGGGAGCCCAATGTGGGACTCCATCCCAGGACCCTGAGATCATGACCTGAGCCGAAGGCAGATGCTCAACCGATGGAGCTACCCAGGCGTCCCCAGAATGTCAATCTTAAGGAATTCTGCCTGCAGATAATTCAGAATCACTGGGAAATTAGTCACGCAAGCCGAAGTGCACAGATTACAAACCTTTGGTTATCACCTTTTATTTTCTTTTAGAAAAGAGGTGCAAGATTTCATCAAAACTGAAGGTCCTTTAGGGAACTGTGAAATGGAGATGGTTTCAGCAGTGAGTTCCTATAATAGAGTGATGCATGTACTGTGCCGTAGTTAATGCACGGAAATATCCCTATTAACAGCTGCCCACATGAGCAAGGGGGTCTCTTCTCCAGCATAGGCAGCACGGTCCTGCCTGCCTGTCCTTCCCGGACCCCACCCTTGCACACACAGTGCTTTGGTGAACTCCAGCGCCATGGGATCGTTCGCAGCATACGACCCCAAGAGCATTCCATCACGCATCTGCATTTGAATACCAAATAAAGAAGTAACACTAAGAGGTCAAGAACAAAGGTGTTCCTCAAATGCAGTGCCATAGGAAAGCGGCTTTGGATTCCATGTCCAACTGTGCCACTCAGTGGCTGGGTGACAGTAAACAGACCACTTGACCTCTCCAAAACCAATGTTCTTATCTGTAAAATAGAGACAATCACGTCCACCTCACTGAGCTACTGTGAGAAGTAAAAGTTCCCTGGCATGTAGTAGAGATACCCTGCATTGCAATTATTATATAAGGTTAAATAAGAATTTAATAGAATAAAAATTCAGGGAATATTATTGTAACCAAGCGTCAAGAAGCATACAGATAACACTAACATACAATTTTCCTGCATACCTACTATGTACCAGGCATGACGACAAAGGCTTTACACTTATGAACTTAGCCTCACACCAACCCTCTTCTGTAGGCAGTACCCCAATTTATAAGTGGAGAAACTAAGGCTTAGTGAAGTTGAGTGCCTTGCCTGAGATCGTGTGGGGTGGAGACAGGTCTCAAATACAGATCCCACAGTCTTAAACCACCATGTAGCTCTGAAGAGCATGTTACACTGCTACTTTTGAGGGTGTTCTCATGCTATCACCACCCTCCATGGAATGAGGGCATGCCCCTGATGGATTCACATCACTGCCAAGTTAAGATGACGTCTGTCCTGTTGCTGCATTTCAGATCCAAGAGGACTCACAGAATTGAGTTGAGAGACACTGTGTGAATTTAGTGGTTACATTAACAAAATCCACTTGCTGGGTACTATGGACTGAATGTGTCTCCCCAGAATTCATATGTTGAAGAACCAATCCCCAATATGATGGTATGAAGAGGGAGAGCCCATGGGATGGGATGGTGTCCTTATAAAAGTGGCCCCAGGGAGCTCCCATGCCCCTTCCACAGCAAGGAAGGCCACAGCAAGAAGGTGACTCTTAGGAACCGGGAAGAAGGCCCTCACCAGCCTGTAACCATGCCGGCGCCCTGATTGTGACTTCCAGCCTCCAGCATGGTGGAAATAAACATCTGTCCTTTTGAAGCCCCCCAGTCTGTGATTATTTGTCACAGCAGTCCCAGTGGACTGAGGCACCAAGTAACATCATTAGAGTGAAATTCCCCTTGAGTTTTTAGCGCCATATTAAAGGAAAACCATGACAGGTCAACCTTTCATCCCTTTATCCTTCAGTGACGTTCCTTCATAACCAATCACACCAACTGAAAAACACACACACACAGACCTCTTGCGTGGACTCAGCTTATGTCCCTTAGTCCAGCAGTTGAGGCACATTGATTCATGCCAGGAGACCATGGTCAGGAGACTGTGGGTCGGGAGACCGTGGGCCAGGAGACCATGGGCCAGGAGATCGTGGGCCAGGAGACCGTGGGCCGGGAGACTGGGGGTCGGGAGACTGAGGGTTGGAAGGCGGTGGGATGGGAGGCTATGGGTCAGGCTGTGGGTGGAGAAACCAGGGCCTAAGCATGGGGAGCCGTGGAGTGTGCATACCTGCAACGTCATGAAGTGTCCTCCTGCCTGCTCCGAGAGCTCCTGAGCTGCAGTTGTCACTTCACATGGGGCAAGCTGGATCAGAAATTGGCTTGCTGGCTGCAGGCTACTTGGGATCCAGGCCTGTAGCCTCAGAACACAAGACCTTCCATGTTCCTTGTCACTCTGGCTGAGGCATCCACCCTGGCTGTCGTAAGCGAGGTCCCATGAAGCTCCCTCGTCTGCGGTATGGCTCAGTGGGACAACACGAGCAGCACGAGGCCAGATTCCCAATGTCACAGCCCCCACGGCAGCTTTCCAGCTGCCCACTTCCAACCGTTCTGGAATGTTCGGGGCACTGCTGCTTGCTGTGAGGAACGGCGGAAGGCCGAGACACACTCCCTGCTCTCCAAGAGGAGATCTCTTGGGAAATTAGATGGACCCCGGGAACATCTAGACAACAGCCCAAAGCAGCACAGATCCATGCCAGATGCATGGGCCAGAACAGTTTCTGGGGACCCAGGGACGTGACCACAGATGTGCTGGAGCGGTCCTAACACTTTGATACCGGACAGCTACCTTCGGCTAAGTGACTAATCCCCACACAAAGTCTCCTTTCAGGCAAGAAGCCTGGTCACACTTCCCTGGCACAGATGTCGCTGCAAGATGTACTTTTCACGTCAGAATTACAGCAACAGGAAAGTGCAACAGAGGAGACCCGTTCCACAAAACAGCCTGGAAAACAAGCCTGGCTGAAGCTGCCAGGAAGTCCCGCAGGCCTCACCCTCTGAGGAGTCCTGGTAACCAGACACCTCCAGACATGGTTGAAATCAGCTCAAGAATTGGTGAGCTGCCCTCACTGCAGGTGGCAGTGAGAAGAGGCCCCCAGAGACCAGCAGCCTGTTCATGGATGAGTGGCTTGCTCTTAGTGCCCTGGGACACACCCTGCTCCCAGGAAGCCATGCTCAGCCAGGCAAGGTGCAGGTGGGAAGGGAAGGACGTTGATTCTCATCAACACACGGGTGGTGTGGGATGTGAGGTACCTCCTCATGGGAGTGCTGCTCTGGGCCTGTGATGCTGGGGCACTCAGACCTGCCTGGCAGCTGGGCAGCTCCTGGCACGTGGCCTGGTTTTCTCATAGCCCCTCTCCCAATGTCACACCCACAGACCCACAAGGAGCGGAGGCTGGTTCATGCATCTCTTCTATTCATGTGCTAGTCCTCACCCTTAGAAGGCTAGCAAATAACTCAGATTCTGCATGAACCCACTCTCTGAGGGATGGTTTCATTACCACCTGTGGGAACTGAGAATTTCTGATATGAAATCTGGCATTTAATATACGTCATGGCAATGCTCAAATCATTACCTTGCGCTGACCCAATAAAGTTTTGATACAAAAATTTATTAATGATTGTCATATTAACACCTCTTACTTTATGCCTTATGCTTTTGTGCACATGTCTTAATTAGTCACCATAAACGATCCTTTGGAAGTAGGCATTATTTCCCCATTTGGCAAAGAGGGGCCAGGGCTAAGAGTTGTTGAGTCTCCTGCCAGAGTTCACGTAGCTTGTAGGGGGCAGAACCAGGATGTGGATTGGGGCCTCGGACTCTTCATCATCACGAGTCTTTATTGTTGTAGGCAAATAGGATTCCAAACTCATGAGAGAATAGTAAAAATGCCAAAGACCTGTCAGTTTTTCACTGATAGGATTTATAAAATTCTCTCACATTTATTCTCTGATGCAAATGTTAATATACCTGCTCTTCGTCAAGAGTCCTGTTGATTTCTTTCAATGAATGGTTCCTCTTCTCTTCTATGTGAACAAGTAGACTTCAACTATCATGCGTAAAACCAACAACATCACACATGTTGACATTTTATAATATTATCACCATTTTAAAGAATTCTGTGCCCTCCACGTACTGTCTATATATAAGGATTGTGTTTACAGGGCAGTCGGATCCCATCTCATTTGCCCCTCAGAGCCATGTGACTTTGGGAAGAAGCAAGCCTGTAATCTCACGTTAGCACCACATCACAAAGTTGTTGGGAATATCATTGACTAAAAAGTAAAGCACTTGGTAAATGTTAACAACCTGTACAAATCTAAGAGGTTGCTTTGTTATTGCCTAGAGTGAAGACCTAAAGAAAGGACAGTTGTCTGCCTGAAGCCAAGGATTGGTTGGACTTATTGAAATACTGGAATTTTAAAAAGGAGGAACCAGCCACATAAGAGTGAGGGTGGGGCGCCTGGGTGGCTCAGTTGGTTAAGCAACTGCCTT